CCGGAGTACTTGTGGCACCTTAGAGACTAACAAATTTATTAGAGCATAAGCTTTCGTGGACTACAGCCCACTTCTTCGGATGCATCGGGATCGCTTTCAGCTGTTGTTGAGTTACAAATCAGTTGAGTACTGATTGTAGGGGTAATGAAATGTGGTTATCCTTATCGTAGGAGTAACGGGCAGCAGAATTGTACTTAGCCTGCCCTGGGTGAGGAGGGCATCACCCTAACCTAAGCAGGGCGTAGGGATGCCAATTCCCAGTAAAAGAGAGGGCGGGAGGAGTTCTTATGTGATGTTGGGGTTAATGTCTAAGAGTGTCAGCTACCATTTGATCCTATCTTTGTTACTGTTTAAAGATACCTACTGCTTAGATTCAAGTACAAGTCCATGTTTTGCTCAGTGGTTGCTAGCACTGAAATATGATAGCCAGGGATTGAGCCCTAGCCCTGGTGCGGGACAGTATTATAGTAAAAGAGGCTGCCCGGCCTGCATTGACAGTGAGAACCCTCCTGCCTGTTAAAAACCCAGGGAGCTGGGGCGAGTGGTGGAATCTCAGAGTGCGATGTCACAGCAGAGAGACCGCTGCAGCTGAGGGTGGCGGGAGCATCAGCGTTAGTGATGCAGCAACTGAGGCATTGCTGGACACTTCTTCCCCCGAGTGGGAGGTGAACTCATGCAAATGCACCTCTGAACTCTGGGTCTTTGCTGGCCAAGGACGGCCACTGGGAGTGGGTGCAGTGATGTGTTAAAGGAACATTTCTTTGTCAGACTTTCACACCGCAAGGTGGGGAAACCGAGGCAAAGGACACTGCCCAGCGTACTCTGGGGTGGGTGTTTGTTCATGGCCATGTGGTTTTCAATCACTGTTGTGATGTTTTCACAATTTTAATGCCAGGTTCCTTCCCCCTTTTATTATAAGTTTTCTTTGCTATTCACAGACTCAGTGCTTGTGAGAGGGGAAGTATTGCCTTTGTGTGCCCAAGGGTGGTGGTTAGTGGAAGGGGGGCTCGTTAAGAGGAACCTCTAGATAGTGAAACCGGCCCTTGTTGCTGCCAACTCAACCTGGCAGAAGGGTTACACTTAAGTCACCTTACCACTGTCACTCTGACGCCAAACCCCAGTCAGACCCATCTCAGTGGAATGCTGTCTCTTCCCCATTTCCATCTGCTTGGTGTGCTCTCCCTGCTGCTTTATGGTACCAGTCTGGGCTGGTTTGGATTTGGAGATGGTGAGATTTTGGTTTCTTAACTTAATTCTACCACCAAAATAGATCAAAGCCTCTGTCAATAGGGAAAGAGAAGCACGTTTTCTCATGACTGACTGCTCCCACAGTTTTGCATTGTCTAGAGAGCCTCGTGCACAGCTCCATAAAATAGCAAGGTTGCACTGAGCCCCCATTTGGAAACACTTATTCAACAACATCAGGAACTTCCTGGTCTGCCAACTCATCGATAGCAGAAACCCAACTCTGTCTTGTGCAAACAGATTTTAACGGTAATAGAAAGGAGCAAATAAATTGCCAGTTTTACGCATTTTGCTTTTTATTACAGCTAATGATTAGAGTAAGTAACTTGTATCCTGATATTGTCCATATGCCGGGTGGTCATTGCTGACCTCAAATCTGTAGTTAATCACTGTGATAAAATTCCAAACACACTTTATAGCTTAGAAATTACGTACACCCAAACAGGAACATTTCAAATCTCAAAGCATTAGAGTGGCTTAGTTTTAAATATTGCTTTCCTTAGTAGCTAACATTTCATCGCTCTAGTGCGGGGGGAGGTGGATGGATTTCCCCTGAAGACTTTTGAAATAGCTGCTCCATTTAAAAAGGGGGAGTTAATTCTGTTTCTTTAAAAGTGTCTTTATTTTACATTTTAGAAGAACACTTGCAGCAGATGGTAAAAAGAAAAGTGCGGCCTGGCTGGTACTGGCATGTGACCTCGGGAATGGAGGTTGGCCATAACTCTGAAATGTTCATAACTCTGAACAAAGCACAGCGTGGGCTCCAGGTCAGCAGCTGACACTCCAGGCCAGGTTTTAACGGCAGCTGAGCTCCCTACTCAGCTGGCATGAGTTTGCAAACTAGCCCCCCTCCCTGTGGTGTGTGTTAGGTTTGCCATGGTGTCCGGCTTTCGACAGGAATGCCTGGTTGAAAAGGGACCCTGGCGGCTCCGGTCGGCACTGTTAAAAGTCCAGTCGATGGAGCAGAGCCTCGTGGCCCTCATGTGCCTAGAGGCTTCAGGGACCTGGCGGCTGCTTCCTCACAGCCGCAGTAAGTGCTGCCAGAACCCTGCACCCCTGCCACAGCCAGCCCAGAGTCCCCTCCTGCACCCCACACCCCTCATCCCCCTACTCCACCCCAGAGCCTGCACCCCCAGCCCAGAGCCTGTACCCCCTCCGGCACCCCAGCCCCCTGCCCCCGCCCGGTGAAAGTGAGTGACGGTGGGGAAGAGCGACGGAAGGAGCGGGGATGGAGCGAGTAGGGGCGGGGCCTCGGAGAAGGAAGTTTTTGGAAAGTGTAGGGGACAATTTCCTGGTGCAAGTGCTGGAGGAACCAACTAGGGGCAGAGCTTTTCTTGACCTGCTGCTCACAAACAGAGAAGAATTAGTAGGGGAAGCAAAAGTGGATGGGAACCTGGGAAGTACTGACCATGGCATGGTCGGGTTTATGAGCCTGCCACAATGTTGAAAGAAGATAAGCAGAAG